CAGGTGCTGCAGAGCCTGGAGGCCGTGCTCATCCTGACCGTGTACAACGCCAAGATGGCCAGCGTGGGGCTGAGTGACGTCGCCATGGACACCACGGCCACCCACTTCACCAGCCACGGCCAGGTTCACAGTGTGGAGGAGTGCAGGTGCCTGGCCCGGCAGTGCTGGGGAGCAGAGACCCTGGCCGGGTAGGGGCCAAGCAGCAGGGCCCCAGTTCCTGCAGTCATACTCTGTGTCCCACTCCCACAGGTGCCCCATTGGCTACTCTGGCTTGTCCTGCGAAAGTTGTGATGCCCACTTCACCCGGGTGCCTGGTAGGCCCTACCTGGGCACCTGCTCTGGCTGCAACTGCAACGGCCATGCCAGCTCCTGTGACCCTGTGTACGGTCACTGCTTGGTGAGTAGCACCCAAGGCACTGGGCACTGAATAGTGACAGGGAGGGAACTCTAAGCTTCTCTTGTACCCACACGCTGTGCACAAAGCCCCAGAGTGACTGCGATGGCTTCCAGACAAGCTTGTGAGAGTGCTGGATGTATTAATAGAGGTATAGTGTCCAGAACAAGGGAGGTGAAGAGCCTGCTCCTTTCTACGTGGATCAGAGCAGTCAAGGTGGATACCATCCGAAGTGTTGGGCTCTGTGAGTCAGCCTCGAGAAGAAGAGACCTAGAAGTCACACCTTACTTCTTAGCAATGGTGGAGGGGGCCGGGAGTGTAGAGCCAACAGAAGAAAAGGCTCAGGCAGGGCCAAAGAATTCGCTCCAGATCCTGGTGTGTCAGGTCCAGAAAAAACAGGTGCCAGAGGACAGAACTGGCAGGGGTGCCAATTGGAAGAGGGATGCAGGTTTGGATTAGCGGCAAGTAGCGTGTGGGACATCGGTGGGCCGGGCTGCCCACAGATGAAGTGTTGGGGCCCCTATCATCTCTAAGGACCAGTCTGCTGGAGAAGCTGTGGAGCGAGTTTGGAATGGTGGTGGAGACCCGAGCCAGATGGCCCGTGAGACACACTCCAGAGCTTGTCATCTGGTCCCGTGTGTCCTCGGGGAGGGACAGGCCACTCTGAGCCGCTCCTTCCTCCTCTCCCCAGAACTGCCAGCACAACACCGAGGGTCCACAGTGCAACAAGTGCAAGGCCGGCTTCTTCGGAGATGCCACAAAGGCCACAGCCACAGCCTGCCGGCCCTGCCCCTGCCCCTACATCGATGCCTCTCGCAGGTCAGGCTGGGCCCGAGATGGGCCAGATCTGGTGGGAGGTGTGGGCCGAGCGAGTCGGGGGTCCTACACTCAGTTGGGATGTGGGAGACAGACCTGGGTTCAAATCCTAAGCTGGTCACACCGTTGTTCTGGGCCCCTGGGCCTCACTTCCCTCCTCTGGGTGAGGGGTGCATGAGTCTTCCTCTGTTATTATAAAGCTGCAGATCAAGAACAGGTGGGGAGGGAGACACTGTGTCCCTACCGTGTCCACGTGGGCGGCACGCACTTCGCAGGGTGGGAGAAGGGGAGTAAGGCCTGGGCACCTCACACCCACAGGTTCTCAGACACCTGCTTCCTGGACACCGATGGCCAAGCCACATGTGATGCGTGTGCCCCCGGCTACACAGGCCGCCGCTGCGAGAGGTGAGCGAGAGCCAGCTGGACCAGGGGACACCATCTACACTGGGTGGGCATGGGAATGATGATCCCTGATGATCCCCTGTCTCCCCCAGCTGTGCCCCCGGATATGAGGGCAACCCCATCCAGCCAGGCGGGAAGTGCAGACCCACCAGTGAGTATGGCAGCCTCTCACACCCTCCAGCTGACCACCAGGCCCTCCTGCCCTCGGTGACAGCCCAGTTCCTGCCTGCTCACACCCACTTTGTGTCCCTCAGACCAGGAGATTGTGCGCTGTGACGAGCGAGGCAGCAGGGGGACCTCAGATGATGCCTGCCACTGTAAGGTAGGCAGGCAGTCTGCACCCTACCCCAGAGGCTTTGGAACACAGGGAGGAGGCTCCAATCTCTCTAGACTTTCCAAGCCTCCCAAAACCTACACACCTCCCAACCCCACAGCCTCCTTCCGTGCCACCCGGACCCCCAAGAGAGGGCGGAGGCAGCCCAGCTCCTTTGTCTGCTGCTCTGGGTGGGATCGCTGGGTCTGCTCTGTACATTTGCTTTTACTTCAGGAGCCCCGATCACGTCGTCGTTTCACTTTGGGCTGCTAACCACGAGGTTAGCAGTTCAAAACACACCAGCCGCTCCACGGGAGAAAGATGAGGCTGTCTACTCCTATAAACAGTGACAGTCTCAGAAGCCCACCGGGGCGGTTCTCCCCTGTCCTGTAGGGTCACTGTGAGTGGGAATGGGCCCAAGGGCAGTGAGCTGGGTCTTTTTCCCTCGTTGTCACCCTCATACGGACGCATCTGCACTTGGCAGGTGAAGGAAGGGATGGAGGCTGAGTGAAGGGACAGTCCGAGACCTGCCCAGACTCCCGGAGCCAGGCAGCCTTGATCTTAAATTTCAGTGGATTAGGACTTGACCGACCTTGCGTAGGTCATTTCATGTCCCCGAGCCTCTGTTCCCTCATCTGACGCAGGGAGATCACACATTCCTGACCAAAGTACCTAGGAACGTAAAACAAGCCACCCACACAGTCCTTGAAACAACCCTAAGTAGTAGCCGTCATAATTTCCTACCAAGTGGTTTTCTTTGTCCATCTAAATTTATTTGTGAGCACCCTGGCAGCCAAAGAGAAAAGGGAAAGACAGCTGGGTGCATACGCTTCCGTTAACTGGGGATGGTAGTGAGTATGCATGTGGCAGCTCTTTCCATGGCTCCCCCGGGCTTTGGGTCCCCCCATGTGGCCGGTGGGTGGATGAGTTCCAAAGCCCCAGGCAGCCGCGCCCAGAGGCAGTCCTAGAGCTCCCAGCTCTGTGCCCGCAGAACAACGTGGTGGGGCGCCTGTGCAATGAGTGTGCTGATGGCTCCTTCAACCTGGATGCCCACAACCCCGACGGCTGCCTCAAGTGCTTCTGCATGGGCGTCAGCCGCCAGTGCGCCAGCTCCACCTGGAGCCGCGCCCAGGTACCTGGGCCAGGTGGGCGGGCCAGCCGGTGGGACCACCAAGCACTAGGGTTGGGGATGCTGAGCACCAAGCCCAGGCCCCAGACCCATCCTAGCTCCTTCTCCTTGCAGGTGCACGGGGCCTCTGAGGAGCCCACCCAGTTCAGCCTGACCAATGCCGCTGGCACCCACATCACCAGTGAGGGCATCTCGTCGCCCACGCCCGGGGAGCTGGTCTTCTCCTCCTTCCATAGACTTCTCTCCGGACCCTACTTCTGGAACCTCCCCTCACACTTCCGGGGAGACAAGGTGGGTCCGTGCCCCATGAAGGAGAGGCTGGGCGGGGCAAGCCCGACCCCAGGTGTCCAGCTGAGTGCCGGGCCCACTCTGTGTCCCAGGTGACCTCCTATGGGGGAGAGCTTCACTTCACAGTCACACAGAGGCCCCAGCCTGGCTCCGTGCCACTGCCTGGGCAGCCCCTGGTGGTGCTGCAGGGCAACGGCATCGTCTTGGAGCATCATGCGCCCCGGGAGCTGAGTCCTGGCCAGCCCACCTCCTTCACCGTGCCCTTCCGGGAGGTGAGCAGCCCTGCCCAGAAACCCTGTGGGCGGGAGGCCCATGCTCCGCTCTACCAGGGTCAATATCCCAGGGGGCCAGGGCTCCCAGGCTCTGCTCCCTCGGGGTGGCAATACCCCAGGGGGTCGAGTTGCAGCGCATGTGTCTTTTCCGGGCAGCAAGCATGGAAGCGGCCTGACGGGCAGCCGGCCACTAGGGAGCACTTACTGATGGCTCTGGCGGGCATCAACACCCTCCTGATCCAGGCATCCTTCACCCATCAGCCAGCTGAGAGCAGGTGCTGGGGCCGGGGCCAGGCCAGGTGGGAGGCCTGGGGCTAGAAGCTGGTGGCAGCTCTGTCACTTAAAGGCTTTTTGGCTGGTGTGTGGCCTTGATGTCCTCCACAGTCAGAGGGAGACAGAGATCTGGCTGCCATGCGGGGCTTGTTCTGGGTCAGGGTTGGGTAAACAGCCTGTAAAGCGGGGGGCGGGGTGGGGGACGAAGGAGGGAGGATGCAAGCAAGCAGCAGTGGGACCCAGCTAAGCAGCGGCTGCAGAGAAAGTTCAGTGTGGCCTTGTCCCTCGTCCTGCCAACAGCTCTGGAGTGGCAATCCCCCTGTAGAGTCTGTCATTGGTCCCCGGTGGGTGTGGTCGAGGAAGGTGGAGTCTCTGGAGAAAATCACAGATGTGACCCGCTGGTCACGCCACTCGCAGTCTCTCTGCTGGGGCTGTGGGGGGACGGAGAGGTGCCTGGCACAGGGCCAGTGCTCATCCGTGTGACTCTTGCCCCACCAGGGTCTCTGGAATCAGCATGGACGTAGCTGTGCCCGAGAACACTGGCCAGGACCCTGCGCTGGAAGTGGAAGAGTGTGCCTGCCCACCTGGGTACCGTGGCCCCTCCTGCCAGGTGAGCCCTTCCCTTCTTCCTTTTCCGGCCAGCCCCTCCTCCTTTAGCCCACCCGCCTCCCCGACCTCCCTCCAGCCTGGTCACTCTGGGGTCCCTGACCAGAACTGGCCTGCTGGGGCAGCTCCTGTCACTGCCACCTTCCTGCCCATAGGACTGTGATACAGGTTACACACGCACACCCAGCGGGCTCTACCTGGGCACCTGTGAACGCTGCAGCTGCCATGGCCACACGGAGAGCTGCGAACCTGAGACAGGAGCATGCCAGGTGTGCCCTGCCTTCCTCCCTCTCCTGCCTGCAGCCCCGTGACCCCCAGGGGCCCAGCCTCACCCCCCAACTCTGCTCCTCCAGGGCTGCCAACACCACACAGAGGGCCTTCGGTGCGAGCAGTGCCAGCCGGGATACTACGGGGATGCACAGCGGGGGACACCACAGGACTGCCAGCCATGCACATGCCTCGGGGCACCCGCTGCCGGCCAGTGCGTCCTCCCCCACCCTCCTGAAATGCCCCCTGCCCCTCCTAGCCCCTGAACCTGTCCCTCTCTAGGCCCCTACTCCCTCATCTGTGAAATGGGGGCACCCGGCAGCCAGACCCATCAACCCTGTACTTGTTCACAGGGTGCCTTTGCCTTCCCTGCTCCACTGCTGCCCAAGAAATGCAGGGGACAGGCAGCAGCCTCATGACTGGGAATTCATGTCTCCCCACCCCTGCAGGGCTACACACACTTGTTTCCTGGACACAGACGGGCACCCCACCTGTGATTCCTGCTCCATGGGCCACAGCGGGCGCCACTGTGAGAGGTGAGGCGGTAGAAGTGGGGGCTGCAGGAAGGGTTACTCCGGGCCCTGACCTGACACAGGCCCCAGACGATTGATACTCAGCTTCCTTCCCCTGCCCCTGAGAGCCTAACCCCAGCTCGGCATTCGAGGCCCTCAGAGTTGCTGGCCTGATCCCCACCCTCATCCCCCTGCGTCCCCTGCTCCAGCCAGGCCAGGAGCCTCCTGCCAATCCCCATCCTTGCCCAGACTCCTAGGTCTGATGCTGGTTGTGCTAGCTCTCTGGCTGCGAGTCTTGGAACACAGTCCTGGTTGTCTCTCATTTGTTTTCCCATCTGTAAAATGGGATTGGTTTCTTCCGGCTCTGTGAGACCACTGAGCCCTGGGCTCCCAGCAGGCTCTGCAGGAGGCTGTGGTTCTGCCTTCTTCTCTACAAATGCTCTCTCTCCCCAGGTGTGCCCCCGGTTACTATGGCAACCCCAGCCAGGGCCAGCCCTGCCGCAGTGAGTCGGGTTGGGGAAGCCCTTTGGGTTCTGGTACCCATTCCTCCCCCCACCCTGCCCGCCTCCAGGGGAGCTAGGATGGAGCCTTTGCTCTCCTTTGACTGAAGCGAGTGACCTTACCTTTCTGAGCCTCAGTTTCTTCGTCTGTAAAACTGGGATATCGGTGGGACCCCGTGGGAGGGCAGTTGTGGTAGGTGCTCAGAATACACACCCCTTCTATGGGTGGTGAGCAGAGGGCCAGAGAGTGTTGGAAATAACGCACTTGGTGCCAGGATTGGGCCTCAGGTGTGGCTTTCCTCCCACTCAGGAGATGGCCAGATGCCTGAGCCGATTGGCTGTGGCTGTGACCCCCAGGGCAGTGTCAGCAGCCAGTGTGACGCTGCCGGCCAATGCCAATGCAAGGTCAGTGTTGCCCTACCTTCTGGGAGACTCTGGCCCATAGCTGTCAGGCCTTTCACTGCCCTCTCTCAACTTCAGCTCCAACCTGGACCCAGGTGGGAGTCAGACAGCATTGGATGGGAGTGGGAGTCAGGTCCTGAGTGGGTATACATGCCCCAGAACAACTGGAGTAGCTGGGAGGGCTGGCCCTCAAGCTGTTGGGGTGCCTTCACCCTCCTTGTGGGTCTCCCTGCCCCTCTGCCCAGGCCCAGGTGGAAGGCCTCACCTGCAGCCAGTGCCGGCCCCACCACTTCCACCTGAGCGCCAGCAACCCCGATGGCTGCCTCTCCTGCTTCTGCATGGGCATCACTCAGCAGTGTGCCAGCTCCTCCTACACCCGCCACCTGGTGAGAGCCTGTCCCCATGCCCCTATCCTGATCCCACGGAATCCACGGTAACCCCTCCCCAAGACCCCATCATTGCGCATCAGCCCTAAGTCCCCAGCCAGCCATGCTCTCCTTCCTCAGTACATCCACCTTAGCCCTGGTCTCAGCAGTGCCCAGTACCCACCCTGATGCCTTTTCAGGCCGCCCTCTAGGGCACCTGCCCAGTGCCCAGACTGACACCTGCCCCGTTTACTCCAGATCACCACCCACTTCGCCCCTGGGGACTTCCAAGGTTTCATCCTGGTGAACCCGCAGCGGAACAGCCGTCTGACCAGCGGCTTCACCGTGGAGCCCATGCCCGATGGGGCCCAGCTCTCTTTTGGCAACTTCGCCCAGCTCGGCCACGAGTCCTTCTACTGGCAGCTGCCAGAGACATTCCAGGGAGACAAGGTGTGATGCACCAAGCCAAGCACAGCTCCGTGCCTAGCCCCCACTGGGCACTGGGGTCAGTGCTGGCCCAGACCCCAGTTCGCATTAGGGCAATCTTAGCTGTGGTTAAGGCTGTGGCCTCTGGAGGTCAGACAGACCTCGATCTGAATCCAACCTCCACCACTCACAGCCTTCTGGAAAGCCTCCGTGTGGCCGGCTGGGCAGACTAGCAAGCAGGCCTGGCCCACAGTAAGTGCTCGGCTGTCAGGGTGATGAGCTTGTGTGCAGCTGGGCAACGCACCAGGTGCCTGCTGTAGCAGTGAGTAAAGGCTTGGCTGCTAACCCCAAAGCTGGCATTTGGGTCAGCCCAGCAGCCCTACAGGAGAAAGGCCTGGCATTCTGCTCCAGTCAAGACTCCAAAACAATCCAAACTCATTGTCATTGAGTCAATGTCGACTCACAGCTACCCGGTAGGACACCCAGTAGAGCTGCCCCTGTGGGTTTCTGAGACTGTAACTCTTTACAGGAATAGAAAGCCTCATCTTTCTCCTGCAGAATGACTGGTGGTTTTGATCCGCTGACCTTGCAGTTAGCGGTCCAATAAGCATCCACTATGCCACCAGGAGTCCAGTAAAGGCTACAGCCTAGAGAAACCCATGGGGCAGTTCTACTGTGACGTGGGGTGACCTCAAGTCCACTCTGATGGCGTAGGGCTCGGTGGTGGGTGGTGTTTACTGAGAGCACTGCTTGTTGTGGACTCTGGCTGTAATGTGGTGCCCAGCCCTGGTCACATCAGTGTGCTCAAGCCTACCGTTGGGGTCACGGTGGCCTTGTGTGCCTTTCAGCCCCAGGACCCACCTGCTAGTGCAGTGTTGATGATACTCTGTTGAACCCCATCAAGCTGTCATTGGCTAATTCTCAGAAGGAGACCGCCAGGCCCTTCCTAGTGTTCATTTCTCTTAGTCTGGAAGTTCTGCTGAAATCAACCCACCCTGGGTGACCCTGCAAGACTTTGAAATACCAGTGACACGACTTCCAACATCATGGCCACATACAAGCCATCCCAGTACGCTTACCTGACACAATACAGGGACCCTGCCCCATTTGACAAATGAGGAAGCTGTGATGGGGAGAAGGAGCCCAAGGGGGCACGGTGGGTGACATGTTCAAACACACCAGCGTCTCCTCAGGAGAAAGGTGCAGCTGTCATGCTTTCCAGTCTTAGAAACCCTTAGGAGCAGTTACTGTGTTCTATAAGATTGCTGTGAGTCGGAATCAACTCAGGGAGGGTGGGGTGAGATAGCAGAGAGAGGTTGAGTAACGGGCCTGAAGTCACACACTGATAGGTAGTAATATTTTAATCAAGTTAAAGACGTGTTAATATGCGGCCCTAGTCAGAGAGGAGCTGGACTCTGCTAGCCCAGCCTACGATCTAGTGGGTGCTGGTGATGATAGTGGATGCAGGAGAGGGTCTTAGGGGTAGCCTGCCGAAATGTGTTCCCCCAATGAGCTAGGCTACCAGGTGGTGCCCAGGCAAAGTAGGTTTGATCTGGTTGAAGCCAGTGCCTGGCAGATGAGTCCCCAGAGCTAGGGCCCTGGGGCAGTCAGAGATGCTTATAAGGGAGAGCTCTGGGGCACCTCAGACAGACCCTTCCCAGACTAGTGCCTCTTGGTCCCTTCTTGCTTCTTGGGTTCCTGCTCTCCTGTCTGCTGCCTGCCTCTTCACTGCCTCCCTGCTGCCCTGACCCCTTTCTCTCTGACTCCCTCTCCTGGCGTCCCCCTGCACCCACAGAGGGAGGCGTATTTTGCGCGGATGCGCCGGGCTCACCAGGTAGGGAGGGCTGTGTGACCCACGTTGTGAGGATGGCGTGATGTGGGCGTGGCATGTTGGGGTGCCCCAGCCATGTGTGGGGAGGTAATACCCGGTACCCTGGTAATCTTGCCATCTGCATGAGCCCAGACAGTGCCCTGTGGCCCAGGGGGGGAGCTGTTGTGCCCAGTCCTGTAATGTCAGGAGTGCGAGCCAGGCTGGCTGTGTGGTCTGGTGGCCAGAGTGGTGATGTGGTGGCAGGGAAATGAGCTCAGTGCTGGCCTGTGCCCACTGAGTCACCCTAGCACTGCTCCCGAGCAGTGCCATTAACCCTGCATGTGACGTGCCCCTGCCGTGGCCTGAAGCTAACCCCTGTGTATCATCCCAGGAAGGGGAGCATGCATCTGTCCCCAGTCAGTCTGGGCCTTTCTGGCCACCATTTCCAAGGGTAGAGGATACTGCCCATGGCTCCATCCTGTGGCCTCCATCCCCCAGAACCGTACATCCTTCTCAGAGGAACAGTTGCGGGCAGCTGTGGCAACTGGCAGGATCCTGGGGCCCCCAGAGGGCAGGGGCCCGACCCAGCGGGCATCCCAGGTAACTCAGGGCCCTGCTTGGGCAGGCTGTGTCCAGGGCCCCAGGAAGAGACCTGAGAGCTTAGTCAAAGCCGGTAACTTGGCCAGGCCACCAGCCTCCCTGAACCACTATCCCCATACTCTCCAGGCGCAGCCTGATGACCCAGTCCTCTCCCTGGTGCCCTTCCTGTGGCTGGATCATAGGCATTCTGGAGAGTCGTTCCCGAGGGACCTTCACCCCCACCCTCTGCTCCCAGTGCCACTTCCTGCCCCTTAGAAGCTCCTCTGTGTGGCCTTCTCCCACCAGCCGGACCCTCCCAGGGCATCCCCACCAGGCTCAGGAGGAGCAGAGGATAGGGGACACAAGGCTGAGCCCCAGGAATGCTTGGGAACAGGGCGCTGACAAAGGCCCAGGTGCAGCCTGGGGAGAAGCAAGGCCTTACCTGGTCCTTCCCTACACTCTCCTCTGCCTGTCCTTCCTCTCTGGTCCCCCAGGTGGACGAGGCCCAGAGGCGGATGGACGCTGAGATCTGGCAGCTCCTCTCCAGCTTTGCTGCACCGCCTGTCCCACGTGCCCAACCTGCAGCCGCCCTGCGAGCGGCTACGTCTTTCTCCTCCTCCTCCTCTTCCTTTCTCTCCTCCTCTTCTTCCTCCTCCTCCTCCTCCTCTTCTCTGCCTTTCCCAACAGGCTCTCAGGTATGTGCCCAGGCCACCAAGGGGCGCCCCCTCACGACATGTTTTTCCAATTTCAGTCACTTCTGAACCTGCCTCGCAGTTCCTGCACAAGACTTGGGCTAGTTGCCCTGTGAATCCCCCATTACCCAATTCACTCATGCCACTTAGATGGTTGAACAGATGCTGAAAGAGCCACAGCATCTGAAACCTCATGAGCTGTAGAAGTCACCCTGGGATCACAGGAACACGTGGGCGTGAGGGGACTCAGCCTTTGAGGTGTCCAGACCCAGAGAGGGGAAGCCAGGAGCTGAGCAATGGGGTGGGGAGCTAGCTGTCCCTCTGAATGGCTTCTGGGGGTCCCATCATCAGCCTCCAGGGTCGTCTTTGCCCTCTCCCTTGGCTCTCACCGACTGTCCTTCTGCTCTAGCTCGCTCTCTCCTACGAAGGCTTCTCTCTGCTTCCAGAAAGCCTCTATTATTGGCAGCTGCCCCGGGCCTTCCTGGGGAACAAGGTAACAGGGTGGTGGTGGGAGGTGATGGGGGCTCTGGAGTCTTAGCGTCTTAAACTATCAGCAGTTTCTTTAACAGACCCCTTTATGATGGAGATGGGTAGATGAGAGAGACTTGCCTGTGTTCAGGGAAACGTCAAACTGAGATTGATCCCAGTCCCTGACCTCTGACCCCTGACCGAGCAATTATCTCTCCTGGGGGGTGGGGGGATCTCCCCAGCACCTCTCCCTGGACCTCTCTTCACTTGGAAGCTAGATCTAAGTCCTGCATCCATTCATTCGGTCTCTCACCCAGCACTTACTGTATGCCGTAGGATGTATCTGCAGAAGCGACCCCTGGTCTCCCCGAGAGCTCACAGTTTGGGTCTGACTCTCATGCCTCTCCTCTCAGGCATTCATTCTTCTAAGAGCACTGACACTGGCCTTAGTGTTGATAATATTGTGATTGATATCACCTCCATCTTCCCCCCAAAATGATTTCACGTGCCACTTAGAGACACATGCACATAATATGCGAGCAAATACCATTCCTAGAAGGTAAGACAGTCGGGGCAAAGGTTAAAGATTGGGTCACACAGGAACAATGGTGAGGATAATGGTGCAGGGCCGGGCAGTGTGTCCTTCTGTTGTGCACAGGGTCGCTATGGGCACCCAACGACAACAAGGGCAAATGATAAATGGCCTCCCTGGAAGCTCAGCCCGTGCCAGGACAGGAAGTATCCTGTCTTTATTTTACTCCCACATCCACAGGAGGAAAGTGGTGCTCAGACAGGTCAAGTGACTTGCCCAAGGCTGCACAGTCTGTCGAGACAGAACTTAGACCAGGCTCTTCCCGATGATGGAAGCAGCTTCGCTAGCCACTGTGCACAGTGCACACCTGCAGCTTGCGAACAAGTTGGCTCCGAACAAGTTGGCTGTGAGCCTCCTGGCCTCCAAAGCAAACAGGCAGCCAGTGTCATGGCTATGTGGCTGTGGTCCATGAATTCCTCGCCACATCCTGAACTTGAAGAGGGCATTCCCGGGGCTCCTGCCGCGAGTGGGTAGTTTGTAGGTGTGTAATAAACGCTCCCTAGCTGAATGAACAATTAGGGGTTGAGGCACGGACTAGAGCAGTGAGGTAGTGATCTGAGCCCTGCCTGGTGGAGAGGAGAGAGTGGAAAGGGCTGTAGGGCCGAGCTGAGGCCTGGCCCACAGGACAGCCCTTTACGGCAAGCCAGGCTCCTCGTGAGCCTCAGAAACCCAAGAGCAGCTGGCTGGTCTGCGACCAAGAACCTGCTAGCTCCTGTAACTGCCAGTCCCAGGCCGCCTGGCATTCTGGAGCCTGGGGCCCATAGGACTTTATCACACTTGGCACTCTCTGCCACTCCATGCTGTTCGTAGGGCTAGAAAAGGTGGCACTTCTCTGACTTGGCAGAAAGAGCAGAAGTGCCAGGATTGGGTCCTCCTGAAGAGCCGCCCCACACGTCCCTGATGGGGCCAAAGCAGGATGCGACACACAGACTGGCCAGAAGGGACAAATGTCCCTCCGGCTGCCTGCCCTGCATTTGGGGAAAGGTGTTTCTTGAGAAAACCAGGGTGTTGGTGGGAGCACGGGGACCGTATTCACTGCCACTGAGTTAATTCCAGCATGCAGTGACTCTGGGGGGACAGCGCAGAACTGCTCCACGGGGTTTCCAGGGCCACGGATCTGTGCAGGAGCAGACTGCCTTCACTTTCTGCACCAGTGACTGGGGGGCTCAAAGCACCGACCTTTCGGCTTAGCCCACTGTGCTACCAGGAGTCTTTATCAGGGCCATCGAACCACAAAGCCAAGCTCTCTGCCATTGAGTTGACGCCGACTCATAGTGACCCTGTAGGACAGAGTAGAACTGCCCGTGAGTTTCCAAGACTGGAACTCCTTATGGGAGTAGAACACCCCTTCTTTCTCCCTCGGAGCGACTGGGGTCTCCTAACCACCGACTTTGCACAATTAGCAGTTCAGCTGGTAGCCACTCCACCACAAGGGTTTCTTAGAACCCCAAAAGATCAGAAGTTCTTTGTCAAAGCACGTGATGACCCAAGTGGGTAATTAGAGGCCTGGAGAACCCGGGGCGGGGTGTGAACTGTGGGCAGAGTTTACCTACCCGGGAGGGCCAGGCCTCTGAGGGTCACTACCAGCCCCTTGACGGAGAACTTCAGGAGCTCCCCCCACATCCCAGAATGGCCACCACGTCATCACTGTCTGATTTCGGCCAACTCCTTCAGACAAGGCACTTGTGCTGGCAAGAGATTCCCCAATGCAGAAAAGCGGTTGCTCAGGGGCTGTGGGCTGAGGGAGAGAGGGCCAATTAGGTAGCTTTGAGGCTCTGCCCACCTGCCGCTTCAGGATACAGAAGGGCCTGGAACGGCCCTGTGCCCCTGCTGGCTGGGTGACCTTCCCAACAGTGCTGGGCAGGGCTGTGACAGCCAGTGTTGCCTCCTTGCAGGTGGGGGCCTATGGCGGGAAGCTTCGCTACACCCTGTCCTACACAGCAGGGGCTCAGGGCAGCCCGCTCTCCGACCCTGACCTCCAGATCACGGTGAGCAGAGGCAGAGGGACCACAGCAGCCCCTCAGGGCCCCTTGGGGTGCTTGCTTATTTCAGCCCAACACTTGGGGATAAGCCCACGCCCTGCCCCCATCCCATTGCCTGACTGGATGCTTCCGAGATGGGCCTGGCAGCTGACCGGAAGGGCTACGAGCCTGATTCTGGGTCCTTGGGGCACTTGGACTTGGGAGGCTGGGGCTGGAAGGGGTGATGGCGTCCCCTCCAAGCCCCACCGGCGTTCCCCCAGGGCAACAACATCATGCTGGTGGCCTCCCAGCCGGCGCTGCAGGGTCCTGGGAGAAAGAGCTACGAGATCGTGTTCCGAGAGGTGAGGGCCCCACTCCCACCCTGGTTCAGAATGCAGTTAGAGCCTTGCCACCCCTGCCTCTCGCTGTCCTGCTCGCACCCCTTCGGTCAATGCCTGGGAGGGAGGAAAGAAGGGAGGGGTGCAGGAGCCCCTCAAAGCTGACACTCCTGTGTTTGCATCCCCCACCCAGGAATTCTGGCACAGGCCTGATGGGCAACCGGCCACCCGTGAGCACCTTCTGATGGCGCTGGCTGACCTGGACGAACTGCTGGTCCGCGCCACGTTCTCCTCCATGCCGCTGACTGCCAGCATCGGCGCCATCAGCCTGGAGGTTGCCCAGCCCGGACCCTCGAGTGGCCCCCGGGCCCTAGAGGTAGAGGATTGCCGCTGCCCGCCAGGCTACATCGGCTCCTCCTGCCAGGTGAGTGCGTTGTGGGTGGTCAGCCAGCAGGCCACCTGTGCCCAAGGGGAAACCTGAGTTTGCCTGATCTCTGATGACCCCAGAGCCGGTGAAGTCCTTAACCACGGGGTCGTCCTGCTTCACGTGCCAGGCTGCGTTCTCCAGAAGAGGAGTCACTGGGTCAGCCCTGGGTGCCCACTAGAATCTGGGTGGCACCTGAAAGCCTTGGGGGGACATAGGGACTAGGCAGGAGGACAGAGGAAGCAACAGCTCACACTTGGACGCCAGGAGACCAGCTCTGTGAGCCTCCAGCGTGACTTCAGCCAGCAGCAGTAGGGAATAGAAGCCGCTGAGGAAGAGGCCAAGCTGAATTCCAGGAAACGTTGCCTGGCAGTCAGTGGTGAATTTCACGGAGAGGGAGAGGTTTCAAGTAAGGGGTGCTGGGAGGATTGTTTTCAGGGGCCGTTGTTACACCTTTCGGATGTGCAAACGTGTCCCAGGCTTGCCTGCGCTGCCTCTGTCACTTAATTGCAGGCATCTTCAAAGGCTCCTTCCACATCTGGGTCTCCCATTTTAAAACTCAAGCCCACTGCTAGGGAGTTGAATTGGACTCCAGACGAGCCTCTATGGGGTTTCCAAGACTGTAAACCTCTCCAGAAGCTGACCACCTTACCTTTGACCCACAGAGCGGCTGGTGGGTTTGAACCGCCGACTGGGTGGTTAGCAGCTCAGTGCCCAACCCACAGCCCCACCAGGGCTCCTGTTTAAATTGAAGGTGCTGTGCCATGGACACCCTTATTTACAGAGGACTTTTTTTTTTTAGGAACAGGCCATTTAGGATGGCGTATTATTTCCTCTAATTTAGAGTGGCTGGAGCTGGCAGACACTGGCAGCTCGGGGGGGCACAGAGAGGGCAGAGGGAATGGGTGAGCACACGGGGAGCAGGGCCGGGCCTAGGATTCTCTTTCAGGAGCTACTGGGATCGGCTTGAAATGCCCAGTGTGTGGTCAGGGACCTGAGTCTAAATGGACACTAACCTTCCTCTTTGCCTCCTAGGACTGCGCCCCCGGCTACACCCGCACAGGGAGTGGCCTCTACCTTGGCCACTGTGAACCGTGTGAATGTAACGGCCACTCAGACCTGTGCCACCCAGAGACCGGGGCCTGCTCGGTGAGTTGCACGCAGGGGCAGGGTGTGAGGGACCAGCGTGGCTGGGCCTAGGGTGGACTAGGGGCCCAGCCTTCTGGAGAGAAAGCCTCTGGGTCATCAGACCTGGTCACCGTGAAGTTCAGGTGGTCACGGATGTAAGCCTGGGTCTCTTCTCTGAGTCTGCGTGTAGTGCCACAGTTTCCTGCCTCGCGGCCCCGGAGGTGGTGCCTTTCCTAGCTGTCATAGCCGGGCACCATCTAGTTCCGGTCTCTGAGTCAAATCACCCCATCCTTTCTGACAGCTGAGTGGGTGGATGTGCTTCTTACTTTATCCGCTCTCCAGCATGTCCATGGAGGGGAACAGCGGGGAGTGCACTCCCTGTGCCTCTCCCCAGTGATCTCCTTAATAGCAGTTCGCAAAAAAGGAGTTTCTAGACCAAGGGATACCATGAAGGGGGTGAGGGAGGAATGGGCAAGTGTTGCCAGTGTGGGTGCTGACCTCCTTAAACGTCCTGCAGCACTGCCAGCACCATGCCGCTGGGGAGTTCTGCGAGCAGTGTGCCCCTGGCTACTATGGGGATGCCACCGCTGGGACACCTGAGGACTGCCAGCCCTGCGCCTGCCCACTGGCAAACCCGGAAAACATGTGGGTACCCAAGGGGGCGCGCTGCTCTGCCGCACATGGCTGAAGTGGGAGGGGTAGTGTCGGGAGGTGCTTCCTGCCGCCCAACCTTCCACCTCTGCCCCTCCCTCCCCAGGTTCTCCCGCACCTGTGAGAGCCTGGAGGCCGGTGGGTACCGCTGCACGGCCTGCGAACCTGGTTACACTGGCCAGTACTGTGAGCGGTAGGTGGATGGATGGAGGGGGGCTACAGAGCGATCCTCAGGGCTGGTTTTGGCCTTTCTGTGCCCTCACCCCACCCCACCCCCCAGCCCCTCGCTGTCCTCTAACACGGCGGGTCCCTGTGTTGGTCTCCCACAAGCAGGGCATCGCTGAGCTTCCCCAGCACTGGGGACCTGGCACTCCGTAGTTGCTTAGTAAACATTCGTTGGGTGAGTTTGCCTGTGTAGAAGAAGCCCTCTCCACCCCAGCGCCCCACACTGCTGTCCTGCTTACTCTTCTCTTCCTCCACTTTCCAAAGCCCTGGGCTGGGGTCCTTCCAGAATTCTCGGCCTGCAGAAGTAGCTTCTGCCCTCCCCTACAAAGTCACCATGAGGCATGGGAGTCCCTTGGGTCCTGACAGCATGGTTTCTTGTCCCATTTTGCAGGTGTGCCCCTGGGTATGTGGGAAACCCCAATGTTCAGGGCGGCCAGTGCTTGCTACAGAGTAAGTGGGACCTGGGCCCGGGATGAGGGGTTGGGCAACAAGGCAGGGAGCCTGGGGAGCCTGAGGGTGGGGCTACCAGGTCTGGGGATGGGGGGTGGGTGGGACAACTCCAGGGGCACCTTTGGAAGAACAGAAGTAACTAAGGAGTAGCTAAGGTAAGTCTTTAAGCCGAGGGGCTCCTGCCTGAATGACCTCCTTTGTGCCCAACAGCAGACCAAGTCCCACTGGTGGTCCAGGTCCACCCTGCCCGGAGCATAGTGCCTCAGGGTGGCCCCCATTCCCTGCGCTGCCAGGTCAGTGGGAACCCACCCCACTATTTCTACTGGTCTCGGGAGGATGGGCGAGCTGTGCCCAGCAGCACCCAGCAGCGACATCAAGGTACCAGTGGGCCCAGACCCCGGGACGGCTGGGGCCTGTCTTTGATGACTGTAGGTGATGTGGGGGAGGAGAGATGGGGTCTGCTCTGATGGGCCTTCGTCTCCACACCACCAGGCTCTGAGCTCCACTTCCCCAGCGTCCAGCCCTCCGATGCCGGGGTGTACCTGTGCACCTGCAGGAATCTGTACCATACCAACACCAGCCGGGCAGAGCTGCTGGTGACGGGTGAGCCCCCACCCCTCAGTCCCTCGACAAGAGCATCTGCCCTGGGCTGCTGCCCAGGAAGCAGCGAGAACCCAGGCATCATGGGAGGCTTGTCAACATCCGAGGTGCAGGGAGGAGATCTGAGTGGGTGCAGGGGGCCACGAGTATGGAACTCAGAAAAGACCCCATGGCGCAGGGTGAGGTCCCCCAGGTCGAGCTGAGTGTGGCTGGAGGAAAGGGCTCCAAGGACCCCCGCTTGGTCAAAATGAAGATTGAGAGGGAAGGACACCCAGGGGGTGTGGTTTCAGAACAGCCGAGATTCAGCGGTGCAGTCAGGACGGCTCTCGGCCCAGCCACGTGCCCGCTGAGAAGCCGGCTAAACCAGCCAGTTACTGCTGAGTGCTGCCCCCTGTGTGTCAGAGGAGAGCTGGACTCCGCGGGGTTTGCCAAGGCTGGCTTTCCACAGACCTTTCTTCTGAGATGCCCGTGGGTGGCCTCCAGCCTCCAGCCCTCTGGCTAGCAGCTGAGTGGGCGACGGAGACGATTCAAACCAAACCTAACTCACTGCCATCAAGTCAATGCCAACGCGTCGCGACCCTATAGGACACAGTAGAACTGTGGCTTTCTGAGACTAGCTCTCTAAGGGGCTAAAAAGCCCATCTTTCTCCCAAGGAGCAGCAAATGGTTTCGAACCGTTGACCTTGCAGATCGCAGTCCACTGTGTAACCACTATGCCAACTGAGCTCCTACAGAAAGATAGGAGCAGAGAACTAACCCCTGGAGGGCATGCTTTGAGAAGAGAGGTTTCCAGGGGGGAGAGGGATGGGAGCCAGTGGTGGGAGGGCCAAGAAGTACAGGCTACAAGCAGAGGCAACTCTCAGAAGACCTTGGCCCTGAAAGGGGCCAAGAAACAGGGTAGTTTCGTGGGGCATCCAGGCGGGTCTTTCAGAGTTGGAAACTCCTAGAACATCTTTGTCATGGAGTGCCAGGAGCTTCCGAAGATGGATAGGAGAGGAGGCTGTAGCAAGGGTGGGCATGGCAAGGGAGAGTCCTTCAGAGGAGTTGGGCCAGGGGTGGGAGAAGGATCCCATGTTTGGGGGATAGGAGAATGGAGCCATGGAAGGAAGGAGCAATTCTTTCTTTGTTTGGGAAGCGGAGGCTCACAGCACAGTGAGTGGAGGAAAGCAGAAAGAGCCCCTGGGGGCCTGTGGCCATGCACTTGCATCAACAGGACTCACAGTGTGGGCTCTTCAGCCACCTCCACTAACTGCTTCCGTGCAGAAGGAGTGGTTAGGTGCTGCGGAGGTCCAGGCCAAGAGGGAAGGCAGGCCTATTGAG